ATATATCCTTTCTGTATATTCAGACCTCAGAATTGAATCTCCTTCACGTACTTTCTTTGTTATGATTTATAGATGTATTAGAAGCAAAAGTATACAGACAAATACGTAGTTTTAGCATGCAAACAGTGTTGCTGTTACTTGGTGCCACATTGCTTCCCATAATAAATATATTAAAAGGTAGCACTATATGATAATAACTGCATATTACATCAGCACACTGTTGTTCAATAGGTTATCAGTAACCAAGAGCAGTTTCATATGTCAGAAAGTACAAATATCTAGGGCAAAATTGCCATACTTGGATTAATGTGAGAGTTGTTACTTATTCAGGACTTAGTTCATTTAGTGCTTTCGATGATTAATACGACTGCAACAGCAGCGATGTTTGTGCAGTGAATAACACTCAATATGAGTAAGGGCTACTGAACCAGGCCCTAGAAAAACCTTATTAAAAGACTTAGTTGGCTGAGTAATTATTACTCATTGTGACCTTCGCTTGCTGAATAAGGTACCCCGAGGGCTGACATTACGTGATCCCAGGGGCTGAACAAAAACCCAATGAAATCAAATAGGTAATTGAAGTTTTGTATGACTGAAGATCAAAGAATCTCTATGTAGATATAAGAGCAGGTATCCCATTCTTATTCCTTTCTGGTATTTATACACGCAGATTATAAAGCCAAAGCCAGGATTTCTCACTCCAATGTAAGGCCTTGCTAGTTTGGGAATTTGCTTTGTTCTGACACGAGTGTGAAAATGCCACTTATTTTTATTGGATTTTACTGAATAAATGTGATTTTTTAAAACAGAGTTCAGAGAAAGGTCTTGATTTTTCAAAAAACATTTTTAGTAACTGTGTAAATATCAAATCTCAAACATAGTCAGACTTCCAAACATAAAACATCTTTTTAGCCAGTAACTGATTCATAAAAACACATTTTAAAACCATCACTTTCCACTTCTCCCCTCAAAAGCAGAACATATCAATCAAGGTCAGAAGTGTGTTTGAGTGTTTCGTCTTGCAAAAGTGATTTTGTGGGGAAAACAAATCTCTTCCATGATTTAGAATTGATAACAGCTCGTCACGGATGAGGTTCTGTGTTTCTTGTCCCACCTTCGTAGTGATTCTCATCCAGCAAGTTGTCCCAAATAATTGTAAATTAAAAAAACCCCAAATAACTAAAGAAGTAGCTTAGCCCTTTTTTTTTTGTTGTTTTTGTTCCTATTCTCTTATGCCAAGGGAGAAAGCAGAGTGGTCTAAAATTTGGGCTATTAAAGTTATTGATTGGATATATCGGGATGCTGTTTCATTAGATTTGTGGCCAGACTGTCACAATACAAATGCCTTCCAAGATATGGATCCAAACTCATACGAAGTTTGATCATTTATATGACAATCAGAGTCTCTGGATCTGCATGTTGGGAAAGCCAGGATCCAAAACCTTATCTCTTATTTTAGCTTGCTTATTATCTCCACCAGTTAACAATGTCAGAGCAGAACGGGAAGATCCAAATATCCTATGAAACACCGTGTTGCTGTGTATTTGTCTTGCTCCTAGCTGTCAGAGGAAAACATCTGATTAATAAGACATGGATTTGAGATTGATGCCATTACGAGGAAGTGAATTCACTGGGAGTGTGAAGTTAAACTGTATTTTTGTCCCTTTTTTGGTGAGACTCGCTAGAAGCAGTGGGACCTTACCTTGTTGGTGTCATTCTGGGTGTTGCTAAGCAACATGAAGTGGTTAAAACGGAGCTACAGAAGAAGAGCACGGAGGAATAAAGGCAACAAAAGACATAGAAAAAGCATAAAAGAGATGAAATGTGGCAGCATATTCTGCGATGAAGTTGCTAAGTATCAACTGGGAAAAAGGCAGTGATTAAGATCATAGAGAAAAAAGAAAGCTGACACGAGATGAATTAGGGACTTGATTCCGTACTTCACATTCAATCAAATTTTTTAGTGCTTTGCTTGAATAGTTGATTGCAGTTTTGGTCCCAAATGGCAAAAGTGATGGCGAAAGAGAATGAGAGCATGGGAAGACATGGGAGGCTTGGGAAAAATTAAAGTGGAACCTCTATACCATAACCAAAAAGAGAAAAGGAATCATTCTACATGTTGCTGGAAACCAAGCAATGACACGGCAAGGCACTCTCCTGCATACACTGTGTACTCTAATTTTGCTTCAGATGTTCTCTAAGGTTGTAAGGAAAGCATGCTAAAAGTTGTTTTTATGGGATGGATATGGTTCTTCCATCATACCTTTCTGTGATCTGTGTCAAATGCACGTTTCTCATTGTCCAGCACAGGAATGTTCATCAGAACCGCATTAAAGCTTTTCAGCTGAACTGAAGTAATGCTGGTATGACTGTATTTCCCAGGCTGGGCCACTGCTGTTAACAAGACTACATGCTGGTATGCTGCCTGTAGCATTCTTATCTGTCTTGCCAGTACTCTCTCACTCATACATTTTAAAGACTACCTACATCATTTTCCTTTTTAGTCCCTATCTTCATTGTCTCTAAAGCTTCACGCCGTTTGTCTTCTGTCACTGAAAATCAATCATTTTAAGCTTTGTTCTTTCTTACTATCTCCCTCTTCTCTCTTTCCATAGCATGTTTTTATCTTGACATTTTCTGTCTGTAGATTTCTCACTTCTCTTTCCCACAAGTACATCTTTATAATCAACCTATAAAGAAGTATTCCAGGAAACTGCGCTATCAGTTTCTTCTGCTTTTCCACTCTGCTTTCCACCCATTCAGACTGTACCTTTCAAGTCTGTGGCACTTATAAGACAAAGGAAACCTTGTGTTAATGGCAAAACCCAAGAGCAAAGTTGTCTCTTTCTCACCCTATAGGACGCTTAACGTGTGTCCTGTGGTCAGGACTTCTTCCACACTCTGTCCCAGGCATAGAGCAGGGGCCCTAAGCTACTGTGTCTTCTTCACCTGCTAAATAAGAAATGGATTCATTTGAAAAGCTTCCTTACTCCTTAATTCCTTAAATTCCTGTATCTGAATAATCCTCTACTCATGCGCCTGCCCAAAACCCTATCTCATGGATCATGGGAGCCCTCACATGCCTCCTTTCCCACGTATCCTTGATCAAAATGCTGGGATGCGTCTCCACCCTGCCTTTGCTAACCAGGTAGATGTCTCACACCTTGGCAACCTCTGCACAGTCAGAGGAGCAATGATCTCATTTAGGAATCAGTGTTTAAAGTTACACTCAGCTAAGGTATGCAACTACTGGCTCCGAAACATTACTTTTCAGTTAAAGTAATGCAAAAACGGAAGGCCCTGGATGATGGCACATGGAAAGGCTGTGCAAGCAGAGGACCCTAGAAGATGTTTCAAGTGCTGGTCTAGTAGCAACCTGGCTTTAGTAGTAAATGGCTGAGTGGCCAGGCCAACTTGCTGCAGCCCTGCTTTTATAAGCTGATAAATGTGTACAGGTCACAGTTTATGAGGCTCAAGCCCTCTGAAAACACGTCTGTGTCTATCTGTGGAGGAAATAATATTTACTCTTCCCACACTGGTAGGGAAAGGATTCATGAGCTAAATCCCATATGGCATTTTAAGCACGTGAAGCACAATAAAAATGCAGAACATGAACATTATTTTATTCATTATTGGTTCTTTTTTGCACTTAAGGGTATGGTTTGAGCCTTGTGTTGTTAAATTAAGGTATTCCGTGCAATTTTGTCCACGATTTAACCAGGCAATATCTGTACTCTGGAACTGCTTTTCCCATAGAAAGGTGCTGCTGTGAGCTGGTGTATTAAAAACAAATCATTACTAAATGATGAATGTTCTTGGAAGAGATTCTCATTAATCCAAAAGAATTCCCCAGGGTGTAAGAAATACTTTCTAGAAGGTGAATATATGAAGAAATCGCTGCGGAGGGAGCCGGCACAGGTTTAATCATAGGGCTACTTCATTTATTTTCTTGCACTGCGTGTTTTAGCACATTTTCTCTGGGGAATATGAGCTGTGCCTAATTATGCCAGAAATGTAGTTGCTTCTAAACAGATACTGGAAACTACTTGCTTCAGGCAATACTTATACTGTGAAATCCTGAGATTTCTTCATTTCCTCCAGGACAAGTAAAGCGCTTAATGATGCAGGGTCACATCATTTTCTTAACCCAGAGAAACCCACTTTGAGGCATGATGTTTGCATGCAACACCCCATCCCTTCCCCGAGATGGTGATTTCCCATGGCACCCCAATCCCCACTATCTATTCGTATGGTGTTAGGAGCATGAAGACAGATGTTTTACGCCTTTGTGCTCTACCCTGGCCACACATGGCCTTTCCCTCTGCCCTGGAAGCACACCTATGGTGGATATTACTGTGAGCAAATTTACATCAGGTTCACAGAAGCAGCAGCTTCTCACAAAAGCTGGACTGGTGGCAGCTTCTGGAGTGGAGCACCACCAGCAGACCTCATGTTCCTCTTGCCCTCGTTTGACTACAATCCATGCCTATGGAGTGCTCCACAGCTCCACAGGATACCACAAGACTTCCTTGTAGGGCAGCTTAGGAAAACCACATTCACAATTTAGGAAATAAATGAGGTTTCAGCCTGAAAGCCTTTTTGAGCAGAAAAGAACTTTAAGTGAGGTATTCAGGAATGCCTGTGTATAGGTTAGATCTAAGGCAGGAGTTCTTCCCTGTGAGGGTGCTGAGGTGCTGGCACAGGGTGCCCAGAGAAGTGGTAAATGCCCCATCTTTGGCACTGTTCAAGGCCAGGTTGGACACGGCTTGGAGCAACCTGGTCTAGTGGAAGGTGTCCCTGCCAGAGGCAGGCGCATGGATCTATATGGGCTTTAAGGTCCCTTCCAACCCAAACCCTTCTGAAATTCTGTATGAGCCATGTCGTGATGTCTTTAACTCATACTCAGCGTTTTGGAGGCCTTTTTGGGTTGTTTTATTATCTTTTTTCAGAGTTTGACTAGGAATTGTTGTAGATAACCTGGAAATGCTCCTTTGCCCTGCATATGTGTAATTCCATAGAGTTTGCCTTAGCTGCCCTGATGGGAAAGTGGATTGCCCATGACGAAACTCACCCTCCAAAATGCCACTTATCTCCAGTTCTGAAAGAGACTCATATCCTCTCCCCATGACACTGCCATCATACCACTTACAAGCACCAGCCCATGCTGGGTTAAGACAGAAGAAGACAGCTCTTATTTTCCTCCTACATGTGGAATGTTTCATGCCTGTGACGATTTTGAGTTCCCTGAATTCAGCCGGTAAGATGGATAACGGTGCTGCCCAATGCTAACTGAAGTGGTGTGGGTGGAATGGGTCAGAGATTTACTCCCACATAAAGTACAGAAGAAAACAGCATTTGCTAATCTGTTTTCTTACATGTGCAGAGCACAGTGAAGCAGAAACCAGTGGCTTTACCTGTGTAAGAAAAACAAACACCCTGATGCTGAATGATCCAGTTCTTCAAAAACTAACCCACGAACCATTATCTGTGCATGTAACTCCTGCTGATGGCCATGAGGATAGCCCCAGTGTAACTGTGTGACTGGAATAGGGTCACTTTGTGAAAATCTCCCAATTAATTTCATCAAACTGCATGATTCAGATGATAATTCACTATCTTCAGTACCTCCATGGCTATCAAGTTGTCTCTATTGATATCTTTCTTCTATTACATATGAAAAGACGAATATGGATGACAATTCTGACAAAAACCCCTACTTAAAATCCCAGTTAAATCCTTCTAACAATGATATTCAGAGCGCTCTTAAACTGGAAACCATCAAAGAGTTAATACATTTCTTTAATATATTCAAAATATCAGAAGCCTCAGTGCTGAGGACTACAGCAACAGAAAGCATTCGCAGCAAGTGCCCAAGCACATGTTGTGTGCTATTACTTGACAAATAATTGTTATGCTTTATCTGCTTCTTTTTATATTCCAATCCCACATTCATGGCAAAACCAATTTCTCGTGACAATGCACATAAACCATTTTCAAACTCCCACTCTGACTCCCTCAATGGCACAAGCATACTTCTCCTCTCTATTACCCTGTCTTGTATATTAGGGTTTAAAAGGTCCAAAATGTTCTTTCCCTTTGACCATCTTCATTTTCTTGCCTTTATTTCCTACAGCTGCTGCGCTGTCTGCTTTTGCTCAGCATGTTTCTAGCTGCGGTTATTTAGCAAGCAATGGAATATGTGAGCAATTCAGCTAAGACTTGCTGCAGGCAATACTAATACTTCTAGGCTTGGACTTAGCACAGGAACAGAGAGTGCTGGAGGCTTCCTTGCACTGCCTGCCGTAAAGTGAGGAGTATGGCTTCAGAAAAGAATTAAATCAATGCTCATTGCAGTGATTTTAAGAAATGGATCTTTATTCATCAGTTCAGAGCATTGAGCAGCCAGTCTGGATGAAGAATAAGGAAAGGAGGATGTATCAGCTCCTCTGCTCTTAGTTTAAGCTTTGGTGGTTTCGATGAATTTAATAAGTAGGTGTGTTGAGGGGTGCAAGTTTATACATTACTGTGGGATTTTGAGTCACTTCAGAGAACTGAAATGTAGAGGTTTGAGTTACTTCAGAAAAAAAGAAAGAAAATAGACATATGCTAAAGGAATAGATCACATGAGGAGCATTACTGATGGAAAGCACTGCACAGCAGCACAGCTTCCCATAAGCACCACATATAGAGCCATCCCACAGCATCATTACAGTATCACAGTATCACAGTATGTTAGAGATTGGAAGGGACCTCAAAAGATCATCTAGTCCAATCCCCCTGCCGGAGCAGGAACACCTAGATAAGGTTACACAGGAACGTGTCCAGGTGGGTTTTGAATGTCTCCAAAGAAGGAGACTCCACAACCTCCCTGGGCAGCCTGTTCCAGTGTTCCGTCACCCTCACTGAGAAGAAGTTTCTTCTCAGGTTTAAGTGGAACCTCTTGTGTTCCAGTTTGTACCCATTTCCCCTTGTCCTATCATTGTTTGCCACTGAGAAGAGCCTGGCTCCATCCTCGTGACACTCCCCCTTTATATATTTATATACACTAATAAGGTCACCCCTTAATCTCCTCTTCTCCAAACTATAGAGACCCAGCTCCCTCATTACATGCCGGTTCACCACACTAAGCTGAAACAGCTGAACCTTCTCCTCGGTGGGCAGGAGAGTGAAACCCATAAGAAAGGGTAAGGCAAGGGTTGAAGGCAGCAGTCACCATCACCAGTGTCAGGTAAACTCTTTGGAGGCAGAACCCTATAGCCATGGGCACAGGCCCATGAGCTGTTAGCATGACGCAAATAGCTAGGGCAAACCTGAGAAGCTGCTTTCCTCTTGTGGCTGCTTGGTGAGAGTTACCACCTTGTGTTAGCATGGCTGATGGTCTGAGAGCTGCTTCAGAAACAGTGGCAAACCCACCATGTGTTTAGGGTGGTGTGAAGAGGCACTTAGAGCTGCTCTAACTCCCATTTCCGTGTGCTCAGTCATCCTTCCTTGGCTTTTGCTCTTCTCCACTCTTAAAGGTGGCTGCTCAGGGAATGCCCTGGGTGTTTAACACGTATTAATCACTAAAATAAAGCCTTCAGGTTGGTATCTACTCGTGGCAGCCAGCATTTTTACAAAGCTTTTCAATCAAGTAAGATGTTTGCAGTTGTTTGCACCTTAAGGTGCTGAGCAAATGGAATCCAAGTGTCATGGCTGAAGGGCATTAATGTTGACACTGCCTGCGCCAGTATTCCTGTACTCCATGCATTTTCAAGGTTTCACACTTCCTTCCCCCTGTTGTCTTCCCCTGTTGATGTTCTGGCTTCTAGACCCCACAACAACTTGGAGGGTTTCCTGTTTTCACTTACCCATTCATCAGAATGCTCGGTGCGTGATGGTTTTGAATCAGATATATTCTTAATTGTGTATTTAATTGCATATCCTGCATTTTCTGTGGAAGATGAAGGCAAGATAAACCAAGTACTGCTGTTCTCACAGACGAATTCATTCCTGGCTCTAACGCTGTTAGGTGAGTGCTGCTGATGCCCAAAGGTCTGAATGATTAGTGCTAACACGACTGGTATTTTAATTCAGCAGTGTGCTTAGTTAGAGTCTCTGTGCATGGATATTAATGCTTCACGTCTTTAATAACCAGAAACTGTGTCTAATAAGGTTATGCTTCTGTGTACATTACCCAGAAAATGGCATTTAAAAAGCAAGCTATCCCTTGTCTGAGAGGTCAAAGTTATACTCAGATTACCTCCTGCATATTAAGAAATGCAGAAAATGAGTGCAAAAACATATGAGATGGATGGTAGCAATTGGAGGCAGTATTAATGAAAACTGCGCTTCTATGGTGAGTGACACAGTATCTGAACGGTAACATGGAGCACACAGAATTGACCATGTTCGTGAGAAGGCGTTGGTAGTGTGTGACTTTACTACAGACTTTGCAAATGATATGCAAATGAGTACCTCCTTGTATTATGAGCTTCAGCCAGCCCATCCTGCCGTGCTGCAAGCACAAGTCAACACCTAAGGCCACGGCCCAGCAGCATACTCAGCACATGGACTCATCCTGCTTGCTCACAGGAACCCCATTGGATTTCCAGCTCTACTGCACCTTTCCAGCTTAGCCACAGTGCAGCAGAAGAGGTGCAGTGCCACTTCTGCAATGCTGCTTTCCACAGGATCACAGAACGATTATGGTTGGAAATGACCTCTGTAGATCACCCAGTCCAACCCCATGCCAAGGCAGGGCCACCCAGAGCAGGTCACACAGGAACGTGTCCAGGAGGGTTTGGGACGTATACAGAGAGGGAGACTCCACACCCCCCCGTGCAGCCTGTTCAGTGCTCTGACACCCTCAGTGTAAAGAAGCTCTTCCTTACGTTGAGGTGAGACTTGTTGTGTGTTAGCTTATGGCCACTGCACCTCTTGCACTGCTTCTCTGTTCTTGACCGCTTCATCTCACCTTATTTAATCTCCAACTGCATCCCTCACTACCCCTGACCTGACTTTTGGGACTCAGGTTCTTCAGATGGGAGACTTGGAATGTGGAAGGACTTGTTCCTTTAGTGCAGATAGCTTTTCTCCACCTCGTCATGACTCATGATTCATTTTGGATGTAATTCACAAAGTTGAAAGGAGCAAACAAAAAGTTTAGGTAGCCACCATAAGTAACATGAGTGATTTCTTTGCAGTACATCAGAGAAAAATGGGACCAAATGGTCTAGTATGAAGTGTCCCTGCCCATGGCAGGGGGTTGGAACTGGATGATTTTAAGGTCCTTTCCAACCCAAACCAGTCTATGGTTCTATGAATATAACCTGCACTCTCAGAGAAAGTAGAGACTCATAGATACTTGTGTATTCACAGGGCACATCTGTGTTCTACAGAGCTGGGGATCTGCTTTAATAGCAGTGTGATTTATGATGTAATCACACTGTCTAACGATGCTACCAAATACTGGCCTGTGCAATAAGCCAAAGTGACTCACTGGCAAGTTAAACAAAAGAAAGGGAATGAAAACGCCAGCCATCCCATTAGTGCACAGTGGTTAGGGCACTATTAATATCTCAGTACACACAGGCTAAACAGACTTACCCAAAACAGTGTTATGACCTCAGTGTGTGTGTGCTTTAGCCTGCAAACCAAACCCTGGTGCTGGTCCTGCCGTGCCCTGCTACCTGCCTCCCATGTGGTTGTGCTGGCTGCCATCCACCCCACAGCCCTTGTGTACCTATCCATGACCACCAGGGGCATCCCCTTTCCAAGACAGCAAGAGCAGTTTCTTCAATAAGCCGGTGTCAAGAAAGTATCACTTATTTGTCTTTAAAGACCTGCTTTTTAACTATTTATAGTGAATTAGGAAGTGATAGATGTTGTGTGTTGCAATGCTATTAGATGTTAAAAGAGCCATAAATCATTTGTTATTCAGTCCCTTAGCCTCTTGAACAATCTGCAACATTTATTTCTTTAATGAAAAGTCCTTTCTTCTCTGGTCAACTCTTTGTAACAGCAACAATCATATCCTCTGTGTGATCAATAAATAATGAGGAACTGATTCCCCTGTAACCACTCGGTCCCTAATGCTGCAACCCCGGTGGTTTCAGCATCATTTCTCCTCATTTACACTGGGAAAATGAGGTCAGGACCCTTTTTTCTCTGGCAAATAAGAGGAAGCTTTTCCCTGGCTGTCCCTAGCAATTGCTAACAAACAGGGAGGCAAACTGACTGGCCATCAAATCCAGAGCTAAGGAGGATGGAAGTGCTCCTGCAGCCAGCTACCCATTATCCTCCCACCACAGGAGCTGCCTGACTACCCACATCTCTATCCACAGGCTGGAGAAGGACTCGTGACAGCATGAGACTACCTTGAGGTGCAGACAAACCAAGTGACTCCCCACAGCTGAGCTATAAATTAGGCTCTGCAGCCTGCCAGCATCACCTGCCTGCTGGTAGCTTGTAAGTAAGGAAGTCAGCTGCAGACTAGGGTTAATATTTACCTACATGTCTCAGGCGGGTGGTGTGCTGAAGATGGAATGCGTTACAGAGT